GAGAGAGAGAGAGAGAGAGAGAGAGAGAGAGAGAGAGAGAGAGAGTTCTTCTTCTTCGTCTTCTAAGTCCACCATCTTTTCTTCACCCTCTCACCACCTGACTTCTCAGTATCAGTGGACTACGACAGAGAGATAGTTGTAACATGAGACTTGATGACATTGGATCCAGACTCGACATTGGGATTCAGACATTTTGACGAGGGACTATTTGGGCCTGTGTCGAAGACTTGGTGTTGACGACATTCCCATCTTCCCCTCTTCTTCGTCGAACACCCCTCTTCTTCGTCTGTGTATGGTTGGGGCTGGCGCATTCTTCCTGTGTGAGTGACAGACCCCTTCACACCATGGAATGATGATGATGATGTATGTTTGGGGCTGCATTGCAATATTGATTGTTCGGATCATTGGTATCTAAGTCTTCCACTACGCTATCTTGTACTTTGTATTGAGAGGTCGGTTTTTGTTCTGGTCTGCACCGTTACATTATGCAACACCCACCAAATAACGACAAATGGATTAGGGCCCCGACCCTGGCCAAGCTAGCCAACTGGGGAAATAAATCCATCTCCCTCCTGGGTAGGGCATTGGCAATAAACAACGTGATATTCCCCTCTCTATGGTACAAATCCTTGGTCTGGCCTTTAAGCAAAGAGGTGGTATGCACTCTAAAAACAAGTCCAAAGTGGCGGTTTTCTTATAGCGGGGGGATGGCGATCTGGACAACGTTATCTGCAGGGTAGCATGGAAGTCGGTCATCCAACCCAAAAGAGCAGGAGGGCTACGGATAATAGACCCAACAACGCAAGCCCAAGCCCTGCGTCTCCAATGGATCAAGAAACTGATTTTCGACACGGACAACTCCTGGCAACCTCTGGCTTTAGAACACCTAACACGTTTAGCCCCCCCCGCCCCCCTTGAAGATAGAGGACCGATTCTGGACAATCCCAAGAAAATGGTCCGACAGCGGGGGGAACACAGAAGGGACAATGGATCAATTATGGCCCTCTCTGTTAAAAAGTTGGCGGCGTATCCCCCTACCAGAACGACAGCAACCCGACCGGTGGGAGGAGATAATCCGGCAACCTCTATTGGAAAACCGATGGCTTGCAAACATACAGGGACAAGTGATAAATAGCTCAACCCCGCCATGGAAAGGTTGGGTGAAGCGTGGGGTGATTAGAGTAGGGGACATATGGAATGAAAGGAACAAAAACTGGAAAACTGCAGAGGAACTACACCTGGCATTAAAACATTAAAACATTGTCACCACGTTTCACAAAACTTGGACAAACTTATAGAGAGAATCTCACTCGCCTGGTACACGAAGTTAAGAAAAGGACCCAGGCTGAAGGAGGGGGACTGGTCTGACTGGGTAGGAATTAGAGGAGACCCGGAACACCTGGGGAGAGTCCATCTAACGAGACCCCAGGACGCCCTGGTGGAGAGAGACGCAATTTGCCAATCCCAAGCGCTACGAGGCAGTCGGGCCCCTTTCATATGGATGGATACGACAGAGATCTTCTGGGTGCGGGTCCTGGGGGAGGGAGAGGAGGCACGGGCTTTCAAACCAGCCACGCGGCTACAAGACCTACC